ATATCTTATTTGTTCAAAATTGTACTTTTACTGATGTCTTAATAGTAGGAGGAGATTAGCCTAATGGAGGAATATTTAGTATACTAGGGGAAGATTATTCTAACGAATAAAGGTCAGTCACTATTAGAAATTCTACATTTGAAAATATAGAGATGCTAGTTGGAACTGGCGGTTTTATCTATTAATAAGATTAGAATTTGATGTTCATCAAAGTTGAATCAGTAACTGTTAGAAAAGTTAAAGCTATGAGTCATGCAGTATTTAATATGTAAGGACTTTTTGGGAGCCTAATCATTTATTCACTTCCAGAATATTAGAGGACAGAATTTTCAAATTTCTTTGCAATTCGTTCTACTTAGTTTTTATACAACTAGAAAATTCCTATGTTTGGGGTGACCGCAGTTATAATTAAAGATACTACAGTCGACTGTCAAAACTAAGATATTTAATTACCGATGGAGGAACCATATTTTGAATATGATGAAGGAGTAATACGCTATGAAGGAGTAAATGGCTTGTTTACTGAGAACTGTATTTTTAGAAATTGTAGGCAGTCATATCAAGGAGCTTTTATCAAGATTGGTTCTTACAAATACTAAGATAAAGGATCTCAGTTTTATAATTTAAGTGGTACATATGGCTCAGTGGTTTCATGCATTAAGTGTGATTTGATAATGCAAGATACAATCATTCATGATTCTACATCGACATAATCCGGTGGAGCATTTTATTTTTCATCCTTTAGTATAGCGAATCTTAAGAATATAACTGCATACAATATAGAAGCAAAAATGTATGGCGGGTTCCTCTATAATGAACAGAAAAGCTACTTAGAATTTTCAATAATAACAATTTAAGATTCAAAGGACATATCAAATATATCATCTCAATAAGGAGGGTTTGCTTATATTAAAAACCCATAAACAAACATTACTCTTAAGAATATTGAGTTTAAAAATATATCATCTCAAATCTAGGGAGGAATCTTCTATGTTGTTGACTCAGATATGATTTCAATAGAAAATTCTAAATTTAAAGAATTTAGTTCCACAATTGGTGGATTTATTTCATCCTCCTCGTTCTTAATGAGACTGTAGATTATAGCATCTACTATAATTTGTGATAAAGATTATAATTAAGAATCTGAGATTGATTAGCTTTCGGGTTGGTAATATTAAAGTGCTAATAAAGGACAGTTTTATTTGTAAAATATAGTAAGCATTACTTTGAGAAATAATAATTTCTAAAAATGTGGAAAATCATCTTAAGGAGGTTTATTTTCGCTTTAAAAGACTACCCTATCAGACTATAAATCAATATACAGAGAAAATTCTGGGCAATATGGTGGAGTTTTTTATTTACAGGAATCGAAAGTTTCACTAATACAATCTTAATTTAGTGGGAATGTAGCATAAACAGGAGGTGTAATTTATGGTGTTTCAAATTCAAATATAAGCATTTCATATTGCACTATATAGAAAAATCAGGCCATTATGACTGCTGGAGCAATATATGTTTCAACTTAATCAATAATAAATATAATAGGCAGCTCATTCTAATAAAACAAAGCTGAGGAGAATTCAGCCCTTGAAATTCTTAATACTATTATTAGAGAAAATGTCACAATTATAAATTGTGATTTCTAGGATAATTATTCACAGAAAAATACTATATCTTTAATGTATTCAAATGTTTTATTAAAGAATTTGATATTTAAGAATAATTATGCTATTTTTAGAACTAAGAATTTGCTTTTGGGATTTGTCAATATTACTATTTATAATACTCTTTTTCAAAGTAAATAGCTCAATAGTATTGATTTATTAAATGATGAAACTCTTGGTTCATTTATATTTTTGATATTTGATGTGAGAATGGATATTGATAATTGTGAGTTTAAAAATGGAGCTTCAAATTTAGGAGGTTCCTTGTATATTTCAGGAGATAGTTATATTCGAATTACAAATTCTTAGTTTTCAAATAACTAAGCAAATTCTAAAGGTGGAGCAATCTACTCCTCTGGCTTTAAGAGTATTTTCATTGGAGAAGGGACACAATTTTTCAATAACTCTGCTCTTGACAGTGGTGAGGACATTTACATCACAAACTCTTTTAATACAATAACTTTGAATGACGTTTTTTTTACTAACTTAAATTCAAAAAATTCAATATATATTGAATAAGCTATATTACATGCAGAAAAAATGATTATCAAAGACATGAATCAAAATAAATTATCAAAGAGAGGAGCAGGATTATTTTGCAATTATTGTAAAGGAATTAAAATACAATTTTCTTAATTTATTAATTTAAAGAGC